AGCACGGAACAAAAACGACCCTTAAAAGAAAAAGAACTAGGCATTGTATCAACAACAACACAAGAAAACTGAGCCAGGAAAGTGTGTGTATGGTTCTAAAAATATGGTTCTATCTCCAGGGGTGACCACAGGAGTGATGGCGGCTAGCAATTTAGCAACCAACCGGAGTTGTTCACAAAATTAGACTGAGAGATGAAGAATCCAGAAGAAGCACAACAAGGACTACGGGAGATCCATAAAGGCAGGAAGTGATCATGGAACCTCAGGAGGTATGAACCGTAGGACTGACAAAGAGGAAAGGTGAAGTGAAGGCATGTATAGTAAAGGGCAGATAAGAACATGACACTGAGGAGAGTAGACACAGGAGCAGTGTATGATTTGCAAATTTAAAGCTTTTTTTGATCACAAAACAACAAAATGATTCTCTCCAGAAAACTAATCAAATGTAATTTTTGTTCTGTATTTTGATTCTCAAGTTCCTCGCTAGCAACATTTAAGTAGAAATTGTTGTAATTGTTGACAAGAAAAACCACGGTCAAGTTGCCTTCTATTGCCATCTTCTGGTGGAATACAAAAGTGCTTTCCTACACGTGTGTTTCACACTGTTGTCAACAGTACATGCTCTCTTTTGAAAGGCTGCAGGAGATATAAACACGGACTGGAAAATGTTTCTACACTCAAGTATATGTACACTTTCTGATAGCCAGGGAGTTTCTATATGATGTTGCTCTTCCTTTGCTTGGTTTGTATTCTGAGATGCTAAACAAATCCTTTGGAGAATTTTACGAAGCACCTTTTCTGCATGAAATGTGCAGTTTGAAAAAATTGCAAATTTAAGTAACATTTTTTATTAAATTTGCATGTCTTCAGGAAGGGTTCGGGTCAAATTCAGAAAGTAAGGGCATACAAAGTTTCATGAACGCGATCTCTCATTCTTCCAATGCCCATTTTTGCAGTGTTCTTGGGTAGTTTAGAGGTAAATGTGACTTTGTGAGCGCATACTTTCTGAATTCTGATGTTGTCCTCAACCATTTCTGCTATTTACTTATTCATGAAGCCGCCATTTAAGGATGAAAGAGAGGCTTCGGTGGCAAGAAACTCAGAAATAATAGGAAGAAAATCAAGAAAAAGGACGTTGTACTGTTGTTGTGTAAATTCATACGTCAACGCTGTAGGAATGCGTTGTAGTCGTTATCTGAACAATAGAGTAATATATTTAACATTACTTTCTATATTGATGATGTAGCCTTCAATAAAGCACAATCTGTGAGATTCAACGTTTATTTTCACATAAATGATTAAATATCTCAGCAATAGTTCCAGGTTTGTTATCGATGTTTACCTCTACGTCCGGGTTTCTTTTCACGAGAGCCTCTCTTTCATTTTTAAAATGGTGTGACAAATAGACAATGCATTTTTATTGCAATTTAAAAAACATGCTCAATGCACAAATACTCATTCAATGCAGTAAAAGTGCTCTGAAATTTCAAAAAGGCATATTGTTAATATTAAAACTTTTGACCAATTAGAGAGAAGTGCTGATGGTAGCTGACTGAGAAGCCCCGCCTTCTTCTGACACTTGGGGGGGGGGGGATTTAACAGGTGTGTATTTATTCAAATCCACAATTTTTGAACAAAAAGTAAAATGAGCTATATCCATATAATCAGTCAGCTTTTAAAAGGGGGTCCGCTCATTGCCCCTTAATCTATCTCATGTAGGCTTGGGGTTAGGGTCTTGCCAGAAAGTGACACCCTGAAATTGATTTTATATTAAACGAAACTATATCCAGCGAATTCACAATCTTCCTGAATCCGAGGCGTGTTTGTCGCCCGACTCCTTCCCCACGGCGTGATGTAATTAATGTGGTGTTGTAGAACAGCTCAAATCCTTTGATAACCTCTGTTCTGCATCTCAGATCCGGCCATTAATCATCCTCACAAACATGAGCGAGAGAAGAGGGCAGCGCAGAGGAAAAAGCAAACGTAATAACGCAAGAGATAGATGAATAACTGCACTGTTTTGTCTCAGGGAACCGTCCCGTGTCAACAGAAGCAGCGTTTGAAAGTTTGGATTTAAATGAGCGCCGGTGAGCCGCGGAGACACTTTGAAGAATGCGAGGGAAGCACAAACAAGAGCAGGCGCCTCGGCCTGTGTTTCAGAGCCGCCGCTGACACCTGATGAGTGATCAAACATAGGATTCTCTCTCGTTGCCATCCTACGGTTTAGTTTGATTCTGCAGACCATGTTTCCAGAACACTAGAGAGCCTGCCTCCAGACCCAGGGAAGGAACGGGGTTTTGTGCTAATTGAGGACGCATCATTTTTTTGGTGTGCAATGACGATCACTTGTCCCCTTTCCCGTGAGGTACTTTACTGTTTTATCCATATGTGAAAAAAATGCTGTAAACAAAATGGCTTCCAGGAATGAAAGCGTCAAATATAAATTAACAAACGACAAAGTGGTGTGAGCACTCTTTGAAAACAGGTAGAGTCCGCTGGATCTATCCCCAGATCTTCTGTGGCATCACTTTTAGTTCAACCTCCATGACTTTGGCTTTTGGTTTGGGGTCAATGTCCTCCTGCACAATATATCAGGGGTCAATTATACGCCTCCCTCATGATATTGCATGACGTATAAGTCAAAATTACAGAATTGAAATGATGTTACCTAACAACCACACTTTAAACACAAAATGCAGATCTGGAATCCAAAAGGAACAAAAAATTAATCATTTAGTAAACCATTAGAATTCCGTTAACCCTTAGAGGCACGCACCGCTGCCAGTCTCAGCGTCTGTTTTGAATTAAGTAGGAATGACGAAACCCAACTATTGTTTAATTTTCATTTCAAATATAATGTGTAGGTTTTAAAAAGTTTTGATATTTTGTGTTTTAACAAGATTTACGACCGGTAATTCACAAGGTAATTCAAATGTGAGAAAATGCGTGATCGTCTTTCAGTTTTGTTTTACAGAACTCAAATCGGTGCCATCTAGTGGTGAAAAGAAGGGAGAACCCTTGGATGTTCAGCTTTGTCATTTTGACACAAAAAGTGCTTGGAAATGTGTTTAAGTTTAGGAAAGGTTCGCCTGTTTTTTTTTTTGATAAAAATCTTTCTGTTTTTTTTTTTTTTTTACCTAGTCTTTGCTTGTTTGGGGGATCTCTGTTGGGATTTTTTACACTTTATATTTTTGTTATAAAACATAAAAAAAACTGTTTGTTCTCAATTTCAATCCCAAAAAGTTCTCAATAGCTTGTTGAAAGTTTGCCATGAAGGCGGCTGTGAAGGCAAAAGGGGCTCCAACCCGGTACTAACAAGGTGTACCTAATAAAGTGGCCAGTGAGTGTAGGTTGATGGGGTTATTTAAAAAGACAGTGATCTGAGAAAAACAAAAAGTACCTACCGGTAATCTTCTTAAAATTTTCACATTAAGAAAAAACAAAAGCAAAATGTGTTTTAAAAACAGCTTTTATTAGCTCCATCCCCTGAAATATGGCGTAAAAAATGCCTGATGCTTTGTGACACAAGACCTTGTTGCCCATCCGTGACGATCACCAGTTCCCGCTGAGCTGCTTCTGACAAGAGTTCTTTAGTGTTCCACTGTCAGAAATCTGCAACGTTCGGTTTCTTTAAAAGCTTTAAATGAAACATTTTATTCATATTCAAGCAAATTCAGTGACATTGGTTGATGTCATTTTACAAGTGACTCGACATAATTGTGATGTAAATAGATTCAATTCTGAGAAACATTACCTTGGTTCCACCGTAAACGTGATCTTTCATTAGCAAGTAGCAAGTGGCTTCCCGATTTTGTGAACAGTTCGTGGGTTTGAGTAAATTCTTTCATCGCCGCTCCGAGCTCGATGATGTAACGCCTGGAGCTGGTCTGAGATCAGCTGAAGGGCTGCGATGAATGACAGGGCTCCAGCGGTGTGGGAAGCCGGGGTGAAGCATGCCAGACCGGGCACACCTGGGCCTGCAGGCAGACGGTGAGGGCTCACAGGGGTTATGCTAAACCGTGCCCAGCCATATGTCTTTCACCAGTACAGAAACTTCTGGAAGCGGCGAGAGCTGCGACCCGGACGAGAGCCTGTTCCAGCCTGATCCCAGACCAGGTGTTGGGCAAATTGTTTCCTCACGCCTTCCTGATTGGAGAACCAGAGGAGGGCCACAGCGGCCGTGTGGATGAGCCGTTGACCTTTAGCTGGGAACAGGAGCGCCAGGAGGAGCCTGGTGGTTCACGTTGGCCTTTATTTTGGGAGTAGTTTATCACTGCTGGATCTGAACAGCTTTTTGGTTCGATTCAAAGCTATTCGTGTCGTTCTTTTAACCATGCAGCAGGTGCAACAATTGCTGATGCTCATTTGTTAGAAAAGCATCAGCGTTAATGAAGTGATACCTCTTTATATCCCAGTTTACTGGAATATTCCATCAGTGAAAGATTCTTAATATTATCATTCCGAACATGCATAAAAAATTTAATTGCCAATAAAATAAATAATTTTAATACTGTTATTTATTTTGCAACAATTGCCAAGTTTGTCATTTAATTAAAAAAATTGCTTTCAATTTAGCAAAAGAAAATGTTTTCGTTCTTAATTGGTTTCTTATGTTTTTTTCTTTCCGTTTCCCATTTAATTTTGGAAGGGGAGGGGCTATGAGATAATAATTTGCATGTCTTTTGCATACCACACCTTTAAGAAGCGAATGTGTCAAGCTGGAACGAGCCGCTAAACGTGAAAGCTGCAGTATGAAAATAAGCCACGCCTTCCCCGTCTAAATGAATGACACTTTCGGTAAATTTTAAAGTTATAAAAATAAATTCTAATGATATAATTTATAAAGTAAGTTTATTGATAGTTCCCTATATAGTGATCAAAGTTTCGAGTTTAATTTCAGATTGTTGAGGTGAGGACGTAGACGTCCGGGGGCGGAGCTTGATATCTAAGCTTTCCCCGTAATCGATACTGAGCATGTGCAGACTGCTTGTAGTCACGGTTTTCCTGTGGCTCAGTTGGTAGAGCATTGCGCTAGTGACACAAAGATCATGGGTTCAAATCCTAAGGAAAGCAAGAACTGACAAAAAAATTGTGTTCATTCTTTCAAATGTAAGTTGCTTTGGATAAAAGCATCTACTAAAAGCATAACTGTAAAAGTAATGTCAGCACGCAAATCCCATTTTATCTTCAACTGGGCTAAAGGTAGATTATGCTTCTTCCTTTTTTTAACAACTCCAGGAAGACGAACAAGAAGTCGACAGGAAAAGGTCATAACTATACAGTAAAGTGCAGCGTATTGGGATGCTTGTATTTTTATTGAAAAACCCATTTTAATTATAATCTAATTTTGTTGTCATCTTTTGAAGCAAGCTAAATGATAATCAGAGCATTTTGCAAGAAAAATTCTTCCTCTGTCTGCAGTAAGCTACAGCCTCTCGAGGTCTATACAAAAGCAACTTCTGACACCTAGTGGTTAGTTTCAGTTGCAGCGAACGTTATAACTTCACATGAAAATTACTATTTATCTAGAGCATCTAGAACACACGCAAGTCTAATCTTCATTTTTGAATTAAGTATGAAACGCTAGCTTTTGAAGTATGTTGCTATAGCATTAAATAAATATCTGTGTCGCTCTGTCACTGTTACAATTGTATTTTCTAATATCAGGCATGTATTTTTTCTCAGTTTTCAAGCACTTTTGTAAAAACTTTCACCCTTGAGGGATCTCTGAGCTTTTCACTCTTGGCCAAATGTATTTCAGCGCCATGCTAACGCTAACTCTCGGACAGAATCTCAACCTTAAGCCGAGGACATATGAATTTGGGAGCCAACGAAGAATCAGACTTGAGTGATTAAAAAACACCATCATAAATGTGATGTTTGGCCGTTCATCACTTTAATCACCAAAGCCCCACTCGCTCTTCTTCTCGAACACAATGCCAGGCTTGCGCTAATGGCAGTGCCAGCCTCAGGAATGATTGATAGATTGCATTACGTCAAGGTGACTTCTCTCCCCCTCCATCAGGTTGTTTAGCTTGATCGATATGAAGAAACAGGTTTAATGGGCAGCGCTGGACTGTAAAAGGCCATTTATCAGTGTGGTTAGCATCTCATCCTGCATCCTGAAATGAGCCCAGACCAATAAACGGTGGAATCACTGCTGTTCATGTTCAGAAACCAAGCCTCGAGACTGGCGGCAATATCCTTGCCATTGTAACGCATACTGGAATTTCATGAAAAAACGTAAATACATTCTGATCATTTCGATCCACTCTCATGAACCGCTGTCAGCTCTCTTGACCATTGTTATTCCTGGTTTACATTATTCCTGGATTTCCCTTTTTTTTGTCTATTCTTCTGTAGTTCGCTGCGTAAATACCAGTCGTATGATTATTTTACCAACACATATCTGTTGTGAATTGTCAGATAATCATGTAGCATTGATGCACGAAAGCACTGTTTTATTATCACCAGATTTATTTAACTTTAGATAATTGGATATTTATGCTGGTTCGTTGTTTTTAAGCTTTTAGGGGCTCTCCCACCGTGTTTTGTTTTCTCTAGCTGTACTTTTTGTACCTTTTGGGTGAGGTTCTAAAAGCAGGATTCGTCTGTCCAAGGTAATACTTTTCTTTGATTCAAAGAAACAAGTCACATCATCCTGTTGATTGCTGACTGGTCAGTTGTTGAGCTCACTGATTGGCCGGAAAGAATGGTCACTACATGTGTCATTACATATTCGTATTGTGGCCACACAGGGGAAATGACTGGGCTATACTTGGGAAATGACTGGGCTATACTTGGGACATGACTGGGCCAAACATGGGCCATAACCGGGCCACACACACAGGCCATGACTGGACTTCACATGAGCCAAAAACCTATGCCACACCATATATGATGTCCAACCAATGTCTTGAGTGCCTCATCAAAAACTATATAACATCTATCAGTATATATTATATCTATGACTTCATAGTTTTAATTAAACTCTATGATTCTTACTAGTACTTCTTTTAACTCTTAATGTTCTGTTTTTCTTTAAGCCCTGCTGTCTGTCTGTTAGGAAATAAATTCCAGTGGGTAATCTAGAGTCCCCATCTTGTCCACCGCAGAGAGGACACCAGATCTGTGGGAAATGCAGACAATCGTGAGGTTGTTAAAGGAGTGCTTCACCCCAAAAATATTTATCTGAAAGATCCCCATAAGCAGAAGCATATGGACAGGGAGAACTTACCATTTGGCAACTTGCTTTGCAAACCAATCATGGTGCATTGCCTCGAGGCAGAGGTGTCGGAAAGCCCTTTAAATGAGTGAAGGGTAGACTCGTTCAGGAACGAAAGACTTCCTCCGGAGAGCAACTCTTGCAGAACACACCCACACAGATGCGCGCACACATACACACACAGCCGGGCCTCAGAGGGGACCTGACCGCTCTGATGAAATAATCACTTCAAGATAGATTTCCTATGGCTAGGGCAGACCGAGAGAGACTGGCGGGTCATTTTGTTCGAAGGGAAAACACACACATACGCTGCTCTTTCAAGCCGTCTGACAGGCAGGGGGGCTTTGCATAATTCTGCCAAAGATGTTCGGCATCTCCCGGTGGGATGTCGGGTATTATCAAAGGATCACCTCAGCTGCAGTTCAAGCCTCTGTTATCCAGCCTGCTCTCTGACCGTTTGGCCGAATGCCCCCTCGTGCATCCAAACACACACATAAACACGCAAACACTCAGCAGATGCTTCGGCGTTCATCCGCTGCCCCGTGTACGGAATCTTACAAAACCAACTATAAGTGATGATGGGCCGCTGTTGCTCTTCTGCTCTTTGAGGTTCATGTTCCCGAAGAGAGGGAGGTCTACTACAGTCGCCTAGAAAGTTCTCAAAATGAACAGGTCTCTTGGACAATTCTTTGTCAAATGTTGGTGCCCTGACCGCAACACGAAGAAACATCTTTGGGATGAGTTAAAGCAAAGACCTCTTCAGTCTGACGTCATAAAACGCTCTTCAAGAAGAATGGTCAACAATACCGAAAAACATGGTATTTTTCGGGTAAACATGGTATTTAATCTCGAGGAAAGCCTTCCAAAAAGAGTTGAAACTGTTATAGCTGCAAATGATGGTTGAGGTTCATTGGATTGAGAGTAAACATGAGCAAATGTGTTTCTCAAAGTAGTCTATATACAGCACGATTCAAAAGTTTTGGACAGGTGTGAAAACATGCAGTTAATATGTCTTGAGCTGAAACAGAAACAGCTGAGTAGGAGGCTTAAACCTGGGTTTCCTTGTTCATGGTTGCAAACTCAAGTTCTATCCGCTCAAGTTAAAGACAGAGGATGGAATTGGTATGAATTTTATACTTTACTAAGCTGTGGGGTACAAGCCGTGACTTGAATTGTGTGATTGATTGTTCATTGTTTTTATTTATTATTTGGAGCTTGAACTTCATTTGAGTTCATTTGAAATCATTTGAGTTTAAGAGTGTTTTGATAATTTTGGCATGAAATTTGTCACTTTCATCTACTTCCAGTATTTTTACATAATTTTTCTTTCGTAAATTAGGGCTTGAGCATTGAAGACACATAGAGCCATATTGTAATTGTCCAGAGTATTATTGAACTGTCGAAACGGGTCATCTGATTGGGGTTTGAAAAGTAGCTCTATAGTGCCATCTAACATGCCTTTGGAGCGCTAATATTTTGTCATTGTTTAGGGTACCAAGATCTAAATGTAAGTAATTGAGATTGCAGAAGTTGGTTATTTCGCAAACACCTAAAAAAAGGATCACTTTTACTTGTGTCCTACTTCAACAAACTCCCTCCATGAGTCTTTTCTTAAGGTATATGGGATGTTAAATTGCGAGGCTTTTTTGAATTTGATTGTTTTTCTGATCTTGTTAAACTATGTACGCACAGCAGCCGTCGAAAGTCGACATTTTGGTACAAATCGCAAGTTGTTATGTCAACCTAAATTGTCTGATCGATCCCAAATTTACCAACTATGTTAACAGTTCATGTCTGAGCACATCTACAACCAACTCTCTTGGTTATAGCGCCACCAGGTGGCCACATGCAAAAATGCAAAAATTGAAATGGTACTTCTTTTTACTAATGTTGACATATGTGAAGAATATTGGCCAAAACAATTTCTCATCTTGGTTGGAGTTTGAAGGAAGACTCCTGTCAGGGCTCTTCATAAACCTCTCCAGCTTTATGAGCCGCCCATATGTGTCTCTACTCTGCTGAGTTCTGATATCAAACTCAAGCAGACAGACCGAATCCCAGGACAAGGCAGCGGAATGCCAGAGACGGTGGCACCTCACCTCCAAGAGAAGATTATGCAAACCCTAGGGGAAGTTGATGGATTCTTTGCCTTACCCGGCATGAGAGGACCAGATGCCAGAGAAAGATTCCAGGCGTCGCCAGAGGTAAAATATGAGTCCTTGAATCAGGAGCTCGCTAAAAGTTTGAGGGTTTTTTATATTGTTAAATAAGAATTTGCTCATACGCAAAATACCAACAATAAGTGTCTTTTCCACTCAGAGAATTTGGGTGAAGCCAGGGTGTGAACTCTGGGAGTGCTGGTGCTGGGCTCCCCTGAAAACTCTTAATTTTTCATTCTTTTTTTTTTTTTAAGAGGGGGGGGGGGGGGGGGGTTAACGCAGCCTCGATGAGGACGATAAACACACAACCGTTTTACCTGCTGGATGGAAAACTTCTGTCTCTAAGTAAGGAATGTTTTTGCATTGATTGAGTGGCTAAACTTGAATAAATATCTGTATGGGTTTAGGAACTTATCAGACTATTTAATTATTAAAAACTAATAATTATTGTTATTTAAGACTTTGTTTTGCTAGCGCTTCAATGCTTGTGTAGAGAAGTATATGAGTACGAACATGGAGCGCCCCCCCCCCCTTAGCCGCATAAAAGTAGGCTCCTGCAATGCATGCAGCCTGAGTGAAGCCATTTATTGTCCAAAAGCTGTGACGCTTTTTAAATCATAAAGACAACAGAAACTTTCCAAATGACCCTGATCAAAAGTTTACTGATGCACAAAAACAGTCGTTGAA